AGAGATGACTTTTCGCTGTAAGCGCTGTGAGAAGAAGAACCTTCGTTGCTTCGTAGATACTGCGTCCGGGCAGTGTGCTGGTTGTATCGCTGTGAAGGCTGAGTGCAGCTTGTTTGTGACTGAGGAAGAGTGGGAAAAGGTTGAGGCTGAGAAGCGTCAAAAGCGTCTTGAGCTTGCTCGTTCTGAGGAACAGACCGCGCGACTTCGTCGCGAGCTCCTAGAGGTCGAGGAGCGAGAGCGAGCGTACGCTGACCGTGATCATGCCATTCTGAACCTTCAGAATCGTGAAAAAGAGGAGGCTGAGGGGAGTTCCGCCCCTGGTATGGAGTTTCCGGCAACCGAACCATCGCTACCCGTACAATCGACTGACCCGGGCTGGTTACAGGCTGATTACTCTTCTTCTTCTTTCGACCCTTTACCTCTTGATTACTTCCTTTCCTACGAGAATCCGATTCTCGCTTCTGTGGATTTTTCCGATGGTACTCACGTACCAGTGACTTGCAGTTCGTCAAATTTTCCTCTGGTTCCCAAGTGTTATAGCTCTCTGGCCATCCTTGCCATTTGACTAGGTACTTCCACTGACTGCCGATTTTCCGTAGGTCCTTGATTTCCTTGACTACGTACTCGTCGTCTTCGAGCTCGATATCTTCCATTAGCTCGGCGTTTTAGGGTGCTGGTTCCAATAGCTTCTTGTGGAACACGTTGTGTATGCGCATGCCTGGTAGTAGCTGGAGTTTGTAGTTTACTAGTCCAATTGTCTCTAGGATTTCAAATGGTCCTAATTGGAGATTATCTAGTTTCTTGCTTGGCTGTTTAGTCTTTAGGTTTTGTTGTGACAAGAAGACTTTGTCCCCCTTCTTAAAGGTTAGTCCCTTAATCCTTTGTTTATTCGCAGCCTTAGATGCCGTGAGGTTCCTGTAAGCTATATTCTTGCTTAATTGCTCGTGCAATTCTCGCATCAGTCGAGCTTTGTCGTCTGCTCTAACTGCAATGCTTTCAATATCCTTCAAATCTCGATGAGCAACCGGCTCATATCCGTAGTTCGCGTAGTGCGGAGAGTATTTCGTCGTTGCCGATTTTCTACTATTGTACGCCAATTGTGCTGTCAGCAAGAGCTCAACCTAGTTGTCTTGCAGCTTGTTGGTGTAGAATCGCAAATACTCCTCCAGCGTCTGGTTCGTTCGTTCCGTCTGTCCGTCTGTTTCTAGGTGAAAGCTAGTCGATAGCTTTTTCTTAATTCCCATCTTTGCTAGGAACGTCAACTAATGTTTCGACGTAAACAGCTTATCTCTGTCCGTAATAAATTCCTTAGGTATCCCATGCTCTAATACTAGTGCTTTCTAGACTTCATACGCGCATTCATCTGCCGTAATAGTTTCTTCTATAGGCACAAACTTGGCTCCTTTAGTCAATCAACATACGATTACTAGGATTGTGTCGCAAAGTCGAGCTGATCCTAGTTCTAACGATTTCGGGAGCTTTACTATGAAGTCCATCGTTACACTACTCCATGGTCGTGTTGGTGGCGGTAAGGGTTGTAACAGGCCGTAGGGCTTATGTCTCTTAGGCTTGTTCTAGTGACATGCCAAATAGTTGCCTAAGACTTCCTGCACCTTCGCTCGCAAGCGTGGTATATCAAACATCCTTTTTAGTCTTCTAACCATTTCGTCTACCGCTGCGTGTCCATATTCTAGGGACTTGTGCAGGGTCTTGATGAGTTCTGTTCTTATATGAGGAGGCACATACGTTCGTGTTCCTTCTCTTAAAGCCGTAAGTTCTATCCCATCGTTAGTTACTTCTGGCGGGTATTCTGGTTCCTGTCGCTATTGCGTGGCTTTCTCTTGCTATTGTTGTTGAAGAGTCGTGACTTGGTGAGCTACTACGCTGACCTTGACTAGGTCAGGCTTGTTATACCTCAAGCTTCTATCAGGCATCTGCCTGAGGACTGCGTTGTATGGCTCCTTGTGTCCTTCTTCTCGTAGGTTGGATCTTCGGCTTAGAGCATCAGCGGCTCCGTTGAGCGATCCCGCTCGGTGCGTTATTTTAAAGTCGAATTGGGCGAGCATTTCGGCCCATCAAACTTGTCGTTAGTTGAGTTTCTTGGTTGTCATGAAACTCGTTAGGTTCTAGTGATCGGTGAATACTTCGATCATGTCTAGGAGACCTAACAGGTACACCTCCCATTGTTTAAAGGCGTCGACTACTCCAAGTAGTTCCTTGTCGTGAACATCGTAGTTTAGTTCTGCTCCTAAGAACTTTCGTGAATGGTAGAACACTAGTCTCCATTTCCCATCTAGGCACTGCTGTGACAGTACAGCTCCTAGTGCGTAATCGGACGCATCGGTCTCAACTCTGGTTTTCCGTCTTGGATCGTACATCTCTAGTACGGGTGCTTCGAGGAACATCTGCTTTAGTTCTTCAAAGGCTTCCTGACATTCTTTGGTCCATTTAAACCCTATGTCTTTCTTCGTAATCTCCGTAAGTGGTGTCGTAATCTAGGAGTAATTCCTAATGAACTTTTAGTAGAAGTTCGCAAATCCTAGGAAGGATTGCACGTCCTTGACTATTTTAGGTTTTGGCTATTCCTGTATAGTCTGGATTTTCTTTAGATTTATCTTAACACCTTCTGTTAAGATAATAAAGCCTAGGAATTCCATTTCCTGCGTGTGGAATTCACACTTCTTGGCTTGAAGGTATAGCTTATATTCTTTAAGCTTTCGTAAGACCTTCTTGACATGTTCGACATGTTCTTTGAGCGATCCTCTAGAGTACACTAGTACATCGTCTAGGTACGCTGTCGCGAAGATTCCAAGGTATTCGTGGAGAGCGCTGTTGATGACTGATTGAAAGGTTGCCGGCGCATTCGTTAATCCGAACGGCATTACCGTATACTCGAACAGTCCATATTTCGTCTTGAACGCTGTCTTCCATTCGTCTCCTTCCTTGATCCTAATCCGGTAAAATCCCTCCCGGACATCGAACTTCGTGAACCACTTAGCTCCCTGAAGTCGATCCATGAGCTCCGATATGAGTGGTAGTGGGTATCTATTCTTTCGAGTAACCCCGTTCAACCTTCTGTAGTCGACGCACAGTCGCCACTTTCCGTTAGGCTTCTTTACAAACAATATTAGTGAGGCCATTAGGCCTGATCCTAGTCTGATAAATCCTTTCTTTAGATTCTTCTAAAGGTATTCCTTAAGCTCAGCATCGTGCTCGGGCGATATAGGATACATTCCTCCTAGCGTCAACTTCGCTCCTTCCTCTAGGATGATCTTGTGATCCCAATCCTAGTGTTCAGCTAGGTCTGTTGCCTTGTTTTCTTCGAATAAATCTCAAAACTCGTTTGTCTAATATTCCTTTAGTATACCTAATAAATCCTTGTTTAGCGTATCTAGTGATAAGGGTCCGTCCTTCGTGGGCGCGACGCGTCTTATCTATATAACTCCTATCTGTCAAGGGTCCTTCGCATAGATTCTCGCGATCTTATACGGTGAGATCTTGCCGAATCTCCCGTCCTTGGGTGAGCTCTGATTCGTCGGGCGTGTCTCTTGTCGTACTCCAGCAACCTTGCGCGCAGGTTCTTGGCTGAGAATGGTCTTCTTTTGCTAGTCGATGGCTAGGTTATGATCCTGTAACCAATTATACCTAATTAATATTTCTTCCTCTCTAAGGTCTATGATATTGATTTTCATTGTGCTTGTAGTGCCCGCTAATTCTAGCGTCACTAGTTCAGTTTCTAACCATATCATGCCGTTGCTGTAATCCATAGGCTTGTCGTCGGCTAGTACCACAGGTATTGGCGTCTTCTTGACCCGATGTGGTATCTAGTACTTCTCTATCGTCTTTGATGAGATCATGGTATGCATCGCGCCGCTATCGATGGTCGCGATCATTCGTTTTCCGTGTACAACCACTATTGCTTGTAGCTTCAATCGTGGGCTCTTGGTGTGTTGTACTTATTTAAGGGTCGTTATAGGACTGCCTTTGCTAGCGTGACCCTGTCTCTAGCGGCATCCTAGTTTTTTGGCCTAGAGAGTCGTCCTTTCTGCGACTTCTTCCCTTCTTGGGGAAAATATCCCGCGCCGTACTTGGCGTCGAAGTGAACGTTACATCAGTCTTCGTAACAGAATCTCCAATAAATGTTCTAGTAAGGTATCTCCTTTAGAGTGTCGTTCGTTACCTCTTTTGGTTGTGGCTTAATTCTTTAAGTCTTTTCTTGGCCTAGCCTAGTGTGCATTTGACAATCTTTTGCTTTGCATTCCTTGGGCATAAGGGTGCTATAGTAGAAGTTGTCTGCCTTCTCCGCATCCTTTCTTTGGTTTTGATAAAATAAGCAGTTGGTTGTGCATTTAACCTAGCACAACTTTTCGTGGGCAATCTGTATCTTTTCTTGCTCGTGTACGGGGCATTGATCCACGCAGCATTCTTCTAGTTCTAGATGGTCGTGGCAACAATCATCTCCTCCGTATCTTGATGCTTCCTTTGCGCGTTTATGCTGACTACATCTCTTGTGTTTGCAGTCGACCTAATGCAGGTCCTTGTGCTTCGTGCGTTAGCTTTTTTGAGGTGCTTCTTGGTCTAAGACCTTAGTTAATTCCATAAAGTATGGCTGTTCCCTTTGTGCTTGTTGTATGATCTTAGTGGCGTTTAGTCCTGTGACGACTATCCTTCCTATCTTAGAGATACAGTTGTTGGCTTAGTGTGTGTTGTCTCTATATGTCCAACACTGTCCTTGGGCCAATCGTTGTAGAGTGTCCATGCCGCTAACGGTCCAGTCCTCCGCCTGGGGTACGTCCCATTCGATACTTGGTTAGGCCAGTTCAGGGATGACTACGTATTCTAGGCTAGTGGCTCTTCGTGCCTCGTCATAGAGGTCTACATCGCTAAGATTGTCCTCTAACGTGAGATCGTGTCTGGGGTATGGCGTGGATAGTCTGATCATCTTGACCTTGACTATTGCCTGCTTGCTAGTTTCGTTCTTCAGGCAATCTCTGCGGAAGTGTCCTACTTCGCCACATCAGAGACATGCCTTGTTGTCGAAGCGCTTTTGTCGTTCGTTCTTAGAGACACCATCTTGGTTTTTCTAGGAATTTTTTTTGTTCTTACTCTTGTCTTGGACTTTACCAGTCATGACGGTGTCACCGTCCCTGTCTGTGCGGTTTCGCTGTTTCTTCATGTTGGCCACTGTAGGCTGAAATCGTCCCTTTTGCTGGGCTCGTTCCCACAGTCGGTTGTTGATTCGGGTGGCTAGCTCGACTAGCTTATGAAGTGTATTAGGTTTGTCGTGGTGCACAAGACTATCTTTGACATTGTCCTTAAGTCCGGCTTCGAATACCGTTCGAAGTGCTGCGTCGTCCCAGTCGATTCTAGCTTAGAGCTGTTTGAACTCAGCTGTGTACGCTAATACGGACTTAGTTTGCCTTAAGCGAGTAATTGCTTTCTCTGCTTGGTTCTTTGCGTCTACTTCCCTAAAGATGCGTCCTATTTCTTCCTTGAAACTTTCCTAATCCTTGAACAAGGCCTTAGTTTCTTCCCTAGTTCCGTGGGTGGTGGGTGAGGTTAGGAAATCCTTAACATATGGCTACATCCACATAGCTGCTTTGCCCTTCATGTGTGTGTTGGCTATTAGGATCTTTTTCTGGTCGTTGGGTACTTG